TAATTTTGTTACGTGTTATGCAAATACCAATAACTAGGTATCAAAAGATAAGTTTAAGAAAAGGCTACATGTTATAATTAGTTACTATTCGATACAGAGTGGGTTAGCTGTCTTTATTAACTAGAAAACCCCCTTATATTGAAGGTTTTTCTGTTTTAGTGAACAAGGGTACTCATACAATAAGAAATTACTTTTTGTAAATCCATTTTAATTTCCACTTTTTAAATATTTACTATTAAACGATGCATTTTTTTTTTAAAATTGTAACACATTTTATATGATAAATATTATAATATTTAGACAACAAATGACTTAAATTGTTGCAGACAATTTAACTTACTTGTTGTCTATATATTATCATGTTCAGTTTTTAGTGTTGCATTCAATATTTATACATTTATGCAAGTCAGCAATGTCAAGGAGTTACTGATGATTGCTCAATGCTGACTATAAATACCTCAAAAACATTATCAAACCTACTTTTTCATAGTTGAAAATATTCTTAATAAAAATGATTTTTGTACTATGCTGTGATGATGGTGTAGCAATTTTAAAAAGTTTGGGTTGTACCCTGAATTAATAAAATCAAAAATGTTGTTTTATACACTTATTTGAAATAATCTACTTATATCACAGTAAATAATCTACTTACAACATAATCCAATACAGATATTTTAAGTAACCTTAACCATTAAATCTCAATGACTACTTCATTTATCATATATAAGTTGTTTATTTTAAAAAATTGTTTGTTTTCAAAAAAACAGACTAATTACTTCCAAAACTAAAAAAGCATTAAAAAAACAATTAGTTTTGTCATCATCATCATTATTATTTTTAAGTATAATATTAAGTACACAACTATAAAAAATCTAAATTTAAAACAATAAATTTTTCTAATTCTGTTCAAAATATTTTCAAAAAAAAAATCTGAAATTTAAGTATATACTTAGAGTTATACTTATAAAAACATAATTTGATTTATTAAACCATAATATTTTCTATCTTTATATATTATATATTTTATACAGTTTTGTCATCATCATCATTATTATTTTTAAGTATAATGTTAAGTACACAACTATAAAAAATATTTAGAAAAATTATTTTTTTCTTAGTTTTTCAGAAAAAAAAGTTCTGATTTTATAGCCCAATACATCAATTTTATTTAGGTCGATAGATGCTATCACAGTTAAGGTAACTGAAAATTGAACATGTGGGATGAAGAGGGAATAAAAAAAAAGTTGACTGTAAGCTCAAGATTTAAAAGAATAATTTCATAATTATAAAAGATGTGGTTTCAATAAACAAAAGGAACAAAGTAGAATAATCTTAAACAACTAGTGATAGTAATAATAAATAGCATGACCCTTAGAGGTGGATAACATTAAAAAAAATTAGAACAATTATGATAATGGACTTGCTTTTCTTCTTATATAGATGTCATGCTTTAGAGGAGGGAGGGGGGGTAGGAATTGTTAGTGGTTTTGTGACAACTCATGCAGAACTTGTTACTAAAGAGTTACAATGTTGTGATAAGTCTGTTGGGGGAGGGGTCTAAAATGGTCAAAAATTAGTATAATGGTGGCAAGGACAAAAATTAGTATAATGGTGGCAAGGACTGGGCTTAAAAGCAATAAGTTTCAAGTTATAAAATCTCATAAATTTTTTTTATAGCAGATCATCAGTCAACCAACATGTTTAGAGCTTCTGGACACTAGAGACTAGAAAAAAATAAAGATATAAAGCTGGAATCCCTTTGGGACTCTGCATCCCTGAATAAAATCCAAACAACATCTAGTTGGGAGCCCAGGAAATGTTAGGGAGTCCTTTATAAAAATATTGTTATGGAAGGAGTAGACAGCTACCTCTTCCTTCTAGTTTAAAAAATTCTTTGTGTTAATTTCTAAAAATTAAACACGAAAACTCATTGAAAACTTAGTAAAACCTAGAACAATTTTTTGGCATAATAAGAAGATGATGTCATTTAGGTAATTTATGTAAAACTATTTTTTTAAGTTTTATACCAGTACTATATTCGATTTTAGAATTCTAATATTTTAACTATATTTTGTAGTCAAATTGAAAATTGATTTTTTAGTTAAAATTATATTTAAGCTTTTTTTTATTATTTATCAAGTATATCAAATATGGGAATATAGTTTTTTATTTCACTGGTTTAATGTTTGCAATCAGGGATTATCTTTTTGCCGATATTTCCCGAATTTCTGATATTAATAAGTATGGAAAATATTTTGGATATCCAGAAAAACATTTAGTTTTTCTGGATATCCAAAATGTTTGCCATACTTATTCCATTCTTATAGACAAGTTTGAGTTTTTTTTGTAATATATTTGTTTTTTAATTTTTTTTACTGATCACTTATACAAAAATAAAGAAAAGTTAAAAAAAAAAAGGAAATAACTTAGCTAACAGCAAAGTTAAGAAGAGAATAAAGGAAAATTTATTCTGGATATTTTACCCAAACAAATTTCTGGATTTTTAAAATATGACTTGGATAATCTATGTATAATATTTCTACTTTTTAAACTAGTTTTAAGTAGCAAAAAATATATATATTTTTTTTATATATAATGACATTTTATTTGACATGTTATTGACAAATATATAATATTAATGAGTTATTATATTTTTATTTTTTTGCTAATTAAAACTGTTTATAAAGTAAAAACATTTTAAAAACTTAAAACTGTTTATAAAGTAGAAACATTTTATTGCAAACATTGAACCAGTGAAATAAAATACAAATTATAAAAAATCTAAATTTAAAACAATAAATTTTTCTAATTCTGCTCAAAATATTTTAAAAAAAAATAATCTGAAATTTAAGTATATACTTGGACTTATACTTATAAAAACATAATTTGGATAGATTTTTTCCTATGTATTTGTCTCATTATATACAGCTTATCTTATCTTATTATGCTACTGATAAAAAGAAATGCCATTTTTAACTATTGTGACTATCATGTAACAACAATGGTTAAATTCTTAAATTTTCTGATCCATTATTTGTCCACTTTCATATCTGACTACAGATGGACAGTTTACTGTCCATCTGTAATGGTCAATTACTTCCTCATTTACCTTGAATCGCCTGAGGTTACAAATAGTTATAGTAATAGTTAAACATTGAAGTTTTATAAGAAAATTCATAGTAAAGATTAAGTGGTTCACAAACTCAAGTGAAACAAAGGATCAATTTGTGAAAGCAGCTAATGCTGAATGATTATGACTCAACCAATGTTCTTGCTTGACAACTTGTAAGTTAGCTATTTTTTGGTATTATTTTTGACTTTAACTGTTCACATGATTTAAATTAGACAACCTTTGATTTGCTTGGGTAGAGCATTAACCCTATCCTGGTCATAGCAAACTGTTGCTATATCAGAATTGGTAGAAAGGGGCTTGTAAATGTTGGATGTCAATTTTCCTAGTAGTAGTATCTTAATTAGAATACTTGGTTCAATCTGCAAAATAGGATAATGCTAATAAGGGCTTCTAGTTGTAATAAATTACTTCAACTCTTTCATATTTGAAATAAGAAATTGGTGGAAAACTTTCTAAAGTGTAGAACAATAACATTCAACAATATAAAAAAGCAGTCTATTTTGAAACTTTTTATTGAGTGTTGGTTAATGGTATGTGGCCAGGGCCCTGGTTAAATAATAATATTAGCAGGGTTATTAGCCTGGGGTATGATAATATACATATATATATATATATATATATATATATATATATATATATATATATATATATATATATATATATATATATATATATATATATATATATATATATATATATATATATATATATATATATATATATATATATAATGTATGATATATATATATAATGTATGATATATATATATATATATATATATATATATATATATATATAATATATACATACTTGTATGTATATGTATTAAATAAACTTTTTATTGAGTTTTGGCTAATGGTATGTGGCCATGGCCTTGGTTAAATAAGTAATTTTTTATAGTCCTAGTTAAATAATAAAATTTGTAGGGTTATTATCTTGATAATTTTAAGATACTAAATGCTATATTATTGTTCAGAGCGCAAAATAATTGGCGGTAAACAGTCAACCATCTAGAATGAAAAGAATTGCTCTTTTGATCTTCTAAAAAGAATTTTTGATAGTCAAGGTTGATCAGTTAAAAAGAAAACCTTGAAATATGGAAATTAAGGTTTTAAATAACCAAAGTGTATTTGAAAAATACATATAATAAATTTTCTTAACATTGTTCAAATTTTTAAAAAGTGTCTGAAATATTTCTAATGTTTAAAAGTAATCTTTCGATTAGTTTTGTTGGCATATACTATATATAACACAGAAAATGCATTGGTACACTATATCTTTTTCTTTCTATATATATATATTTTTTTTATTTTTCTTAATTTTAACCTTAAATTTTAATTCGTAATTTTAACCTTTAATTTCGCTTCAAGGTCACAAAATCTTTTTTATGTTTCATTAAAGTTCTAATTTTATTATTAAAAAAGTTGTTCTGAGCTATTGACGCAATTAATATGAAAGTAATTTGGGTTTGTTAAATTTAAAGCATAAATATTTTTTTAAATTTAAAACGTTTAGTTGAATTTTATAAAGGTATAAATAAGCACAGAAAAAGACAAACAATTGATTGTCTGTCTTGGTTAAATTGACTGTCCATGTTTGATTTTTTTTATTTTGCATGCTGAATTTTTTTAATAGTAAATACACCTACAGATATTTAATACTTTTTTTTTTAATTCAATTTATAGTTTTAGGTTTAAGTATAAATACTCTTTATATTAATAAAAGTTTTTAGAGGTAAGACTCTCATACTAAATTTATATTACTTTGAATTACTTTTGATTTTCAGTACTAGTAAATTTATTATAAATTAAAGGTAACCATTAGTGCCTAAGAGTTACACAAATGCAGAGTAAAAAATCTCTTATAGAATTACTTCAAAGTGGGTGAAAAAGAAGTTGGCAAAACAATCTGTATACTTTGCAAAAAGAATGTGTCTATGAATGGTGTGGCGGAATATGTTGCAAAATTTTGATTGTCACAAATTTTTATAGTCATAAATTTGATTGCTGAAAATGTAAAAAAGGAATAGTGTCGCAAATTGTTGCATTATTGATTGTCAATAACAGAATAAGGAATAATGTTGCAAATTGAATTTAAAGAATAATGTCAAAAATAAAAAAAGGAATAATATCAAAGGCACAAAAAAGGAATAGTGTCGCAAATGAATTTTATGAATAGTGTCAAAAATAGAAAAAAAAGAATAATGTCCTAAAGAGGTTTGATAAAAGTAACAAAAATAAAAAAATAATGATAACTATAAATGTTAGTGTGTTTTAATAACATGTCATGTCATACTGAAATAGCCTGTTGCCAAGGGTTTACTTATGAGTATTTACACCAACTATCTTATAGCCTGCTGCCGCAAAGTGCCACTACATCAACTGAGGGTTTGAAGTTTGGTAGCAATCTTTTTTTTTGTTATTCTTTGTTTTTTTTTCTTTTTTTTTCTGTAAAAGCCGTATGCTATAAAGATATGCAAAACAAGTAAGCAATTGCTGAAATTGACTAATTGCGACACTATTCCGTCTTTACTATTTGTGACACTATTCCTTTTTTTTGTTTTCGACACTATTCATTATATTCATTTGCAACACTTTTCCTTTTTTTTTTGTTTTCAACACTATTCATTAAACTCATTTGTGACACTATTCCTTTTTTTTGTTTTCGACACTATTCATAAAACTCATTTGTGACACTATTTCTTTTTTTTATGACAATATTCATTTTTGACACTCTTCCTGTCACTTCTATGAATGTGTCTAAAATGTCTATAAATGTGTCTAGAATGTCTATGAGAGTGTCTAGAATGTCAATGAGTGTGTCTAGGTTGTCTATCAATAAGTCTAGAGGCATTAAAGACTCGCAAAAAATCTGCATCTAAAACAACTTCATCTTACTGTACATATCATAATGGTTGGTTTGACCAAGTCTGTGAAGCTGCACCAGATCTAAATTAAAAGTCTGTTAGACAATTTTGCACTACTCAAGTAATATGCTCAGATAATTCAATATCAATTATGAAAAGCATCCTATAAAACAACAACGTGATTCTCATTGTAACCAATATATATCATTCATTAAAAAATGTATGTAATAATTGTATTTTTAAAATGTACTTTTTTTGTTTTTGAAATATTTTACTTTACTAATTTTAACTTTATTGTGTTTTTTTTTTAAATATTTTTCCTTTCAATTTTTTCTTTTTTTTGTTCAATGTCTTTATTTAGATGTCACTAGTTTTTAAATGTGTGGTACCTAAACTTATAAGTTGATGATGTATGGTTGTAAATTTTATATTTTTATGGTTAATTAATGGATAAAAGAAAATAAGAAAAAAAAAGAAAAGACTAGAGAAACTCTGTTAAATCAATGCATAGTAGTAACAGCAGAGAAAACTCAGTGAAGCTCACATATCTTTTAACTCTATTTCCTCTATAGGTAAATCTAAATGTAATTAGTATTTAGTGTTTATTAATTATTTATCACTTAATAATATTTTAGGTTTCAATTATGGACTACCCTCTATCTTAAGGGTTATAACCTGGGTCCTCTATTGGTAGTTACTAATTACTTAGCTATATTATTAATTTATTGTATTCATTTCATTGCTTAAATTTATTTCAGGCCTCTCAGCAAAATATTTTGACAGAAATGAATTGTGGTAACATGAAAACCCTAAAATTCAAGCTCTTACCAGGCTCATTGGTCAGACGATCTGTTTAGGTTTGCAGCCATACTGTATTTTGGAGGATAACTGCTTTACATTTAAAAAAATTTAGCTCTAAACTATACAATACCTAGTAGAAAGAATTTCTGCACAAAATTGTTTCTATTGATGTAAAATGTTACAAGTTAAATAAAGCAGATTTAGTCAATTTATCTAGCAATGGTTAAGCATGCCAGCATGCAATCCGTTTGTATCAGTTAAACTTCTAGGTTTGTGATATCTGAGTATGAAATTAGATATGTCATTTTTACAAGTTACATACTTCCCAGTGTCTTGCACAGGCCATAATGTCAGCAAGTTTTTTAATAAAGCACTGTAAACATGGGAAATACTGCACATAAAGATTCATGCATTGTTAACTGATAATGCTGCCAATTTGGAAGATAAACATCTGCCATGTCATATGTACTTTACAACTTTGTATTTAAAAGAAAACCTTTGGAGAACAAAGATCAACTTGTGATACAGTTGTTATTTTTTGAACATTTCCAGAACATCTCACCCATTCACTCAGTGGGAAAAAAAAGGAAATTTAAAAGCTAACAAAAATTAATATACAGCAACATTATACAAGATATATCCACCAGGCAGAGCTCAAAATAATTTATTCTTTAGAACCTCTGTGATCATAGCAAAATTACTGCACCATATTACTTGAACTCAAACTATTGAAAAGAGTCCTATAAAAAAACAATGGCAATTGTTGAAATGCTACAAAAGACATAAGTGCAGATAGTCATATAATTTATTCATGCAATGGATAAGTTTCTTTACTATGCTTGTAGCACATCAGCTACAAAATACAAGGGTAATGCTAATCTAAAAAATACAGTGATGCTTGATTCACATTTTAATTAAAGTTTATTGAAGAAGTAAATTATATTCTAAATTCTTTATTAAGAGAATAACCGCTATCATTTAGAGTCTCATTTACAACAAGCTAAAGAGGTTTACAGTGCTGAAGCAGGAAACAGTGAATCAAAAATTACGTTTCTAAGCTATTCATTTCCAGGTTTGCAAGAGTCTAACTCTTGTTTTGTGTTTATAGTTCTCCAGTTAAAAAAAAGGAAAATGAACCAACGCACATGGACATATACATCTGCTTTCACCAAAATAACCCTTCACCAAATTCAGAAAACACTATTGGAGTGAGAAAAACAAAAAAAATTAGTCCAAGAGGAAATTCCAGTCAAAGGAAAATGATGAGAACAAAAAATTTATCTAAAAACTTTTATTTTGTTTAAAAAATTATTAATCTAATTGATAGTTGATATAGGTATTTATAGATCCTTGCATATCCTCTTTTTCTTTTCTTTGTTACATTTGACAATTTTGGTTGTCTATTGCTACATTAATTATCATTTATTAGTTATCAATTTTTTTTTTAATTCTTTATAGTTAATACAATAAATAAGAATTAATTGAGTATTTAAATTTATTTTTTAACATGAATGAAGTCAACTTCTAGCCTTCCAACATTGCCAAAGAATGAATTAGTCGTAATAATGAACATGAAAATAAATGAACCCCTATAAGTGTTGGACGCTACCTTCTAATTATAATATGCCTAATTATTATTTATTAAATAATAGACTAATTAATAATGTATTGTAATAGACAAATGACTTGATGTAATGTAATAGAATAGACTAATAACTTTTATTAACTACTTCACTTATTAGTACTAATCTTTATTAATCTTTTGTATGTTATCAATGTGTTATATAGTTGAATAATTAAATATATTCAGAAAGTTAAATACACAAGATTTTTTATTTCAGAGTTAACAAGATTTATTTAGAGATACACAAGTTTATAAAAGCTTAAACAAAATGCTTTCAGTTAAAGCTTTGATTTTAGAAAAATCTTGGCTTTGGTACAACCCTAATATATAATTCTATACAAATATCTTTTCATACTTAGCTTTACATTAAACGTCATACTGAAATAGGATTCTGCTTCAGAGCACACTTAGAGGTTTTGGGTAGGATTACAACAAATAGAAATTTCACTTTTCTTTTCATAGATAATTGTTTGTTTTTTTGCCTGAAAAAGCAGGTTAAATCAGCATTTTAAATATTATAGGTTGCAGAATATATAAGAATGCAGTACAAAACAAATTATGCAGTAGTAAAAAAGAAGAAAAAAATTAACGCATTTAAATTACCAAGGATGACAGAGTACTGCATTTATTTTTGAGGGAAAGGAGGGAGAGGGGGTTTCCTCTTTTTTATTTTTTATTATTTTTTTAAAAAATATAAATATAAAAACCTTTACCTCAAGTATGTAAGTAATATTTCGCTTGTATCATTTTGAAATAAAAATTCTTTTATTTTTTAGTTCGAGCAATATTCCCTCCTACTCATCAGTTTCTAACAGATTACATGTACTTAATTGCACCTGTTAGTTTAGCTCTCCTAAACCCGATTGGCTTCATATTTCTAGAGTACCAGCAAGCAAAAAATAATTTTGAATCATCAGTTATTTTAAGTCGGTCAGCACTATTCTGCAAGCTTTTTGTCATAACCATAAAAGGGATTGTTACAAATCCCCTTATATTTACAATAGTGCTAGGAATATTAGTGAATTTCACCTTTAAAAGGCAGATTGGTGTATTTTCCATTTTTCTTGATTCTCTGAGCAACGCATTTAGTGCTACAGCATTATTTTATTTGGGTTGGAGCCTAGGAATTAATAATAAAAAGACACCAGGAAGGCTATTGTTGTTGCCAGTTTTATTAGCTGTTAGTAAAGGGTAAGTTAAAAAATTACTTTTTGCTTTTAATGCTTGACTGATAAGTTAATGCAGAAGCTAAACAATAAAAAAAAACAACAAATTATAATTTAGAAATGAGATAGTTAACACTAATTTGTACTTACACTTATTTGGGCATATACCAGTTGACATTTACTTAGATCTGCACATGCACTGATTGCACAACATTTGTCACATACTGTCAGGGTAAATTTTGGTTTACTCTATTTAGTTATTCTAATATTTTAATATATTTTGTTAGATTTTTATTATTTTTATTATATATTTTGTTTAATTTATTATTTTAAATTACAAAAAAATAAAACAATTTTTAAATTTATTATTTAGAAAAATTCTTGGTTGTTTTTTATTCTATAAAAACCAGTATAAAATAAAACATGTTGTTTTTTAATTTGTAAAAACCTTTACAAAATCAGAAAATGTTCTGTAAAATTATATTTTTCATGTTTTTATACATAAAGAAATAATGTTTATCATTTTTTGAAATGAAGCGTTGAAAACAAAACAAATAGGAATATTTTAGGTTTTATAAAAAATATTTATAATTATGATCATATTTTTAATCTTAATTCTAATTGTTATACAATTTTTATAATACTTGTATAAATTGCAACTAAACTTTAGCATTTAATACCCTATTTTATGATAGCATTTGGCACCCTAATTTATGATAGCATTTAACCCCCTATTTTTATGATAGCATTTAACACCCTATTTTTATAATATAACTTGAGTATAAAAATAAAGAAGTTATTTATGTTTATAATAATATAAAGATCATAAATAAAGATAATATTTATCTTTTTTAATGCAGGTTGATGTCTTTATTATTGTGTAAATTAATTTATATAAAAGCCATTATTATATTATTTTTATAAAGTTTCTGATTTAAAATAATTAGTAAAGTTAGCTTTAATATATATTCATGTCATTAAAATTTTTAAATCCTAATTTATTAAAGGTATATATCTTATGTTTGGTTTCACCAGCTTAACCATATATTTTTGATTTTTATGAAAAAAATTATTTCTTACAGCTTTTTTTACAGTAACTGTTCCCACTGGTGTTGATGCTGGGGAGTCAAGATCTTGTTCAAAATCATTTAAAAATTTTAAGGTAATGTAACAATGTTACATTACCTTAAAAATTTACATTATTGACCTAATTCAAAGTCAATTGCTTTGCTTTTGTTAAAAATTTACATTATTGACCTAATTCAAAGTCAATTGCTTTGCTTTTGTTTATTATTACTAATAATTGCTGAGCATTCTAAGCATTCTTTACTGAACATTTATTCAATTCATGCTGATGGAATGCAGAGCTCTTTATTTACCAACTCTTCTAAAAATAGAAGTATGTTTCTACCACCATTTCAGCACTTTATGCTTATTCTTTATTATGGGGTATAGCATGAAAAGCTTTAAACTCCTTTTTCAGTTTTATGGACATTTTGATCCTCACCATTTCACTAGTAGTATGTCTTGTTACTGAAGTTGAAAGAGGGTTGTAACAACAATTTAAAAAAATGAGTAGCTTCATCAAACAGATAAAAAATGAGCAGCTTCATCAAACAGATAACAGCTTTTTCTTAAACCTAAAGGTGAATACAGTATTCTGAAATACTTTTTGTCTAGGTTGTATCTTTAATGTTCATTAAAGTAATTTTCCTTGTTTAAACCTATGCTTAGTTTTTGACAAAAAAAGTTTATCTGTTTTCATTGTGGTTTCGGAGAAAATTATCGATACAATTATCAATAAAATTATCAGTAAAAAGTATACTTAGCATGTGATGCAGGGTTTCCTTGAACATACATTTGCTTATAATATTAATTGAATAATTAATTGAAGCCATCAGTGAGAGTTGGATGTTGCTTAAAATAACATCTTGTAGTGAGTTTTTATTTTACTGCTAAGTTATATTTTAATATAATTACCAAAATTTAACAACCGTATAATTTTATCTAAAAGGTTAGTACAGAATTACACTTGTGTTACATTATTTTCTGCCTTGGATGATAAGTACAAATCATTTTGACTTGACTTGCAATTTTTTGCTTTTGTTTTATTTGTAGTGGCTATAAAACTTATTCAGTTATCTTCTCATAACTGAGAAGAATTCTGTTATAAATTAAAACATGAATATTGTGCCTAAAATTATATTAAACAAAAAATAACATCATTGCCACTAGGGCATCCAATACTGATTTTGGTTCTACCATTAGTACTGGTATTATTCTTTTTGGTATTACTGATATTTGTTCTTTGAATATTGTCTCTCTTACCTGAATTTTTATTTTATATAAAATATTTTGATAATTACCTAGTGATTTTCACTTTTATTTACTTGCTCTGGACAATAATGGAGAGCATAATAAAGAAAAGCAACCTTAGCAGATGCCAATTTTGCAATCAATTGTGTAATGGTTTTCATGTGAGAGGTCAATAGTAAATGATAATCCAAGTAGATGTAAAGAAGAGGATTCAGTGAGAGGGTTGTTGTTCATTAATATAGGAATGTTGATAATATTGCGATAGCTATTTGCAGTAAATAACTAACTTTTGTTAGAGTTTAAATTTACAAACGACTGCAAACCCCAAGCTGTTTACAGAAATAAGATTACTTTAGATGTAAGATTGTCAGGAAGATCATTAATGTAGATAAGAAACAATACAAGACCAAGCATAGAATCTTGAGGTACCCCAGAAGTAAATGGAATTGAAGAAGGCCTTCAAGGATGACTTTAATAAAGTGGTTAGAAAGAATTGATTTGATAATCTCAAAAATTTTGTCAGATACATCATATGAAGCTTTTGGAAAACTTTTTAAACTTTATTGAAAACTTTATGTCAAAAGCAATAGCTTTTGTCTCGCTACCTCCATCTCACCACTAAAAAGCAATAGCCCTTGTCTTGCCACCTCCATCTTGCCACTAAAAAGCAATAGCCCTTGTCTCGCCACCTCCATCTTGCCACTAAAAAGCAATAGCCCTTGTCTCGCCACCTCCATCTTGCCACTAAAAAGAATTATAGAGTCTTTCAGTCACTATAGTTAGCAAGTCAGCTGTAAAACAAGAAGTCATATTGATTGTCAGCCGTAAAACAAGAAGATTTGAAAACCATATTGATTGTCAGAAAGCAAGGCAAACATTTAAGCTCACACAACATGAATCTGATCATATTGCCTCTCCGAAAGAAAAGGTGGTATTATTGATATAAATATATTTTACTTCCAATTAGCATTTTTTAAAAATCATTTATTAAACCTAATGATATCTTTCTATCCCACCAGGTTAATCCATTTTAAAGTATACAAATCAGTCCAGTTTCTAACTTTTATTCCTAGCAAACTCTAGTTTCAGCTATTTATTTTTTTTAATTAAACTCTAATGTCCAATGGTCTTGATAACATTTCTGTTACAGTCTGAAAAACATGTCTTTTATTTATCTAATATCAACTTCCAAACCACTAATTTGCTATCACTACATTTGATTAGGGTATTCATTTTTTTAATTTTTACTGTAACTCTCTCAACTTTATACTCTGAATCATAAATCTTGTTAAACATGTCAGTGCTGAGAAACAAGTTAAGGGCAAAGAAGTAAACAAGGACAATACTAAAGAAACAAATTAAGGGCAATGCTTCAAGGCATTGCCTTTAAAGGCAAAGGTTTAGGATAGATTTGAACTTTTTAATTGTAAACCAAGTGTTCTACTACTAGTTTACTACTTCATGTTATCAGAACACCAATCTAATGACACCCTTCAATACACCCTTCAATACTATTTAAACTATTTAACAAGTGCTTAAATAAATTTTGATTTCCTGCCTGCAAGAAATTTATATCTTTGGTTGAAACTTTTTTTAGTTTTTCTAGTAATTCCCAATCAGTTCATATATTATTGCTGGCAAGGTCTTTGAGTATTTAATTAACTATTAATGCTAGCTACATGTTAGCAGGGTCTTTGAGTATTTAATTAACTATTAGTTACTAGTCTCTTCTAACAACTTGTTAATTAAGATTTTGTCCTCTTGTTCTATTTCTGGCTTGTTATAAAAGAAAGGTCTGTGGAATAGGTGGAAACAGTGAGACTAGGTCTATTGCTCTTGACATATAAAAAAGCTTTTATTAAAGTTTAATCTACTGGTCTTCTTCATATGCTTTTTTAACTGCAGCATTAAAGTTGACTTTGATGGACAACACTCTATTTTATTTCTAGTAACTTCTGGTGTACTACAGGGTTTCATCCTTGATTCTGTGTTGTTCCTCATATTCATTAATAAATTTCTTGATTACTCTAAAGCAACTCTTTTTTTAGACAAAACAACTTAATACTTAGATTGCAGTTTTGGTATAAAATCATAAATTTTTGATCACACCAGGCAGCTTATTTTGAAAATGATTTATCTTCTGTGAAAGCTTGGGGCTTACTTTGGTTGGTAAAGTTTAATCTAAACAAGACTTAATTTACTGGTAATAATTAATGCAATGTTGTAGAAATTCCTAGATTAATAAATGGTAACACTTTTTCTGAGCCCTCTTAACTTTACAACTTAGGTTATTCTTTAAAACTGTTCTCTCATGAAAATCATATATGCAATTTATTGCAATTTACCTTGGAAATCAAATATATATTATTTATTGCAATATACCTTGGAAGCAATATATACAATTTATTGCTAAGTTAGTACTGCTCAAGTTGCTGTGCTTTCTATAATCTTACCCTTGATTCTCTTCCTCATAAATCTCTTTTTTGTTTTTGCTCGGAACTTGATTTGGATTTGAGCTTTGATATTCTCTAAAACTTAAATTAGTTGAGCTTATTCTAGCAGCCAAGCTTTAATCTCTTTTTCATTTTGTAAAGTTTTTCTTTTACCTGTTCTATCATGATTGTTACTCAACCTAATGGTTTGTAGTCAGGAGTGAATTTGTTAAATCAAAATCAACACTTTATAAAAAAATTATGGGAAGTAAAGTTCAAACTTTTTACCTTAAATATGTATCAAATGTTAAAATAAAGTTTTAAATGGTTAAATGATTGGATTGGCTCTTAACAATTTAAGTTTAACATTAAACTAATTTCATTTATTTGTTTTTAAAAAAAACAATAACATTACAACTTTATTAAAATGTTTGTGTATTTTACTTATTACACTTTGATTTATTGTATTTTTTAGTTTTAAATATTAAATATATAACTATCTATTTTAGCAATGTTTTTGTTTTGTTTTGCATAGAACAGTAAAAATAAAATAAGATTTTAGTTTCGTAAAAATCATTTTTTGTATGATACAAAATATGATACAAAACAAGATAGTTGTTTCAATTTTGTAAAAACTGTGCAAAACACTGACAATCAGAAATTCCAAAAAATATGAGCAAATGTACTAACAACATGTTATATAATTTATATACGTATATATTTGTCTATATATGTAAGAATATATTGTATATATTCATAAGTTTTCTCTTATTGAAGTCATAAAATGTAATGTGGTCCAAGGAAAATATAAATAGTTAGAGAATTAGAATGCAAAAAGATTAGTTATTAGATATAACTTGAATTCAACTTGAATAATATTTTTTTTTAAACATTTAATAGTTTAAAAATTCAATAAGTTTTGTAAAAATATTTTTTACAGACAGTTAGCAAGATGCTTTAGATTTATTTTCACTTTTATTTGTTAAGACTTCTCCAATGAAGGTTTCATCTTCAATGAAATGGATGAGAAAATTTCTTCCACAAATAAAAATTGTAGATCATTTATAGTTAAAGCTGCTTTAAAACCCACTTAAATAAAAAACTTTAAAATTTTAGCATATTTATGCCAGTTATGATGCGGTTTGTTGCTTCTAATATGGTCAACAATATGTTATCAGGAAATAAATTTGGTTCAAATTATACGGGAAATATAGTTGAGACATTTTCTTTTCTCTATGGAACTATTCCTGCAGCTCCTACTGTTATGATTTTTGCCAGCAAGTATCAGTTAGCAGAAAATATTGTAGGTTACTTTAATGTTTCAAATTTTATTAGTTTTATGTTATTTTTATAGGTTTCAATTTTTTATATTGTTGTGACATAATTTTTAAAGAGACAAAAAATTTCAATTTTAATTTTTTAAATTTAGATTGGAAGTACTTTAGTAATAAGTACATTATTTTCTGGTCCGATAATTTTTGCATCTGTTAAAATGATTGAAGTTATAAACATGAGTGACATACAAATGTTTTTGGAAATAATTATTCAAGTTTCAACACAAATAAGTGTAATTCAAATAGTTTGTTGTGTAAGTTTTTTTTTACTGTTTCTAAAATTTATAAAAAGATTTTATTGTTTAATTTTTTTTATTCTGTTTAAAATTTAGAATTAAATATATCCTTAAAGGACCTTAAAATTTTAAGTTTTAAAAAGTTGTTGTCTGACCCCCTCATTTGGTTCCAATATATATATATAAAAAAATTCAGACAAACAATGAGCTCAATTGAACAATATTTAAGGGTAGCTCAAGCAATTTGAAATTTTTTTACGAACTTACAGCATTTATAGCAAAAACAGCACATTTTTTTTGGTTTTAAACGGTAAAAAAATCACTTTAAACTACTATAAATAAGAAGTAAAGTAGTATTTCTTTGCATTAGGAAAATGTGCCTGATTTTCTTCAATAACTTTAAGAGTGTAGTGCAGCTGCTCTTTGTTCTTGAATCCATCCAACTCTGCTGCATCCTGGATCAAGGTGACTCCTTTTTCTGCATGATTTTTGGTTACTGCTTGGGATTTCACAATTGTCTTTGCAGCCTTGAATTCATCTCGGCTGTTCCATGTTTCCCAATTTTAAGCTAGGAATGTATTTGGCATGCCCAGAGTAGCAAATATATTCCTTCTCCTCTTGGAAATAAAATCAGGAAGAATTTTTTGTTTTACTGTAGCCAAATCCACCTGGACACATTTCAAGCTTCTTTCTCTGAGGATCCTTTAACAAGTTGATGCCCTGTGTTGAAATCCACCTTGATATCAAAGAGGCAAAAGAGAATCAAATCCTATACCAAAGGTGTACCGCAAACTTTTGTGATGTCACTGCTACTATTTCTGGATTGGGGTAGTCGTGAAGTAGTTGAAGAAGTTGCAAATTGTTCATACACGGTTGCCACTCAACCTGGAAAACCTGGAATACCTGAAAATAGCATGAATCCCAGGGAAAACCTGGAAAACTCAGGGATTTTTAAAATTTTCATAAAATTCAGGGAAAACTCAGGTAAAATAATTTTTTTTTTGAAATTTTGTACAATAATTTTTTTTTTGAAAAATATTTTGCTAATACATATAATAATAAGTTTGCAAGATGTGGGTGTTGTTGTAAAAGTTTTAGTTTGTTAAATATCAAGATTGTTTAATTAAGGAAAATAATAATCTAATATATATTTATATCCAAAATATATTGCGGATATTTTAAACAAAAACTTTCAAGCAGCATTTGTAAGAGAAGACAATGATCCGCTGCCTTACTTCAAGGTAAGAACAAATAAAACATTTATTATGACGACAGAAGATTTTAAATATGAAGATATCTTTTTAAGATTAAAAAACTTGAAAGAAAACAAATCAAGTGGTGTTGATAACTTACATTCAGCTATTTTAAAAAATTGTGCATCAGCATTCGCTATTCCACTTACTTATATTTTTAAAGAATCATTTGAAGCTAGCAAATTGCGAGAGCACTTCAGATCAGCAAATATTAATCCTCTGTACAAAAAAGGTGAAAAAACCTTAGTAGAAAACTACCGACTGATATCACTCACCTCGATTGCTTGTAAAATAATGAAAGGTATAATGAGATGTAAACTTGAAATTTTTCTAAATGAGTATAAACTCATAGTCAAGCCGCAGCACGGTTTTGTTAAAAGGAAATAATGCACAACAAATCTACTTAATACACTAGATTTTATTTCAATCAGTTTAGAAAATGGTAAACCTGTTGATGTTGTTTTTTTGGATTTTGCTAGGGCATTTGACACAGTGCCCCATAAAAGACTGTTACTAAAACTAGTAGCTTATGGAATATCTGGTTTAACACTTAAATGGATTGAAGCCTTTCTGAAAAATAGAAAACAAAGAGTTGTTCTAGGCAAAAACGTAACTTCTTGGGCAGAAATTATCAGCGGTGTGCCACAGGGGTCAGTAATTGGACCACTTTTGTTCGTGCTATTTATAAACGATTTTCCTGAAACCTTAAAAAACATATCTATGCTGTACGCTGATGTCGCTAAAATAATGAATAAAAAGAATTCCTACGAATCAACAGTGTCTTTGCAAGCAGATCTTGATAGAGCTTTTAAGTGGACTCAAGAGTGGTTTGTATAACAATATAACAAGAGTGGCTTGGAAAGTTCAATATTTCTAAATGTATGGTCATGCACTATGGGATTAATAACCACTTTATATCAATAAAGAAAAATTAAACGTAACAGAATCTGAAAAAGATCTAGGAGTAATTTTCTCAAACAACCTAAAATGGAAAAATCAAGTGATATCATGTGTAGGCAAAGCTAATTAAATGTTGGGTATGATTAGAAAATGCTTTGTTTGTTTAGATAATAGACTACTGAGATCACTTTATGTATCTTTTATTAGGCCACTATTAGAATTTGCAGTACCCAATTGGTCACCTAATCAAAAGATGAAATTGACTTACTGGAAAGAGTTAAACATCGTGCAACTTGACTAATACCATCACTCAAGAAAATCAACTATGAGAATTGTCTAAAAGCTCTTGACTTAACTACGTTAACAAATAGAAGAGAGAAGACATGGTTCAACTTTTTAGGATCTTTAACGATTTCAACAAGAAAGTTTAATTTTCAACAAACTCAAACAGGAGGTCACCGGTTTAAATATGTAAAAGAAATCACTAAGCAAGCTCATGGAGAAAACTTTTTCTTTAATAGATCAGCCAATTTATGGAATAGCTTGCTGAATGATTTGGTTAATTTAGAAACAGTTTTAAAGCCGGTCTTGATTGCTGGATGAGCAGCAGTCAGGCAAATCAGCTGTCATAGTGTGCTAATAACACACTCACTGGTTCATACCAGTTACAGCATTAAATAATAATAATAATATTAATAATAATAATAATAATAATAATAATAATAATAATAATAATAATAATATATATATATATATATATATTCATATATATATATATATATATATATATATATATATATATATATATATATATATATATATATATATATATATGTATATGTATATATATATATATATATATATATATATATATATATATATATATATATATATATATATGTATGTATATATATATATATACATGTGTGTATATATATATATATATATATATATATATATATATATATATATATATATATATATATATATACATATATCTATATATATAATAAAATAGAAAAATTAAAAAAAATATGTTTAAATAAATAGGTTTGGGTGATGATAGTATTTTGTTGTTTGCAGTTATTCCGACATCCATTGTATAGATATACTCAAATACTTATATTTTTTCAGGTAATTTAATTTGTGTTAAAGAAACAATTAAAATCTTTATTTTTTTTAAATTAAAAGTTTGACAGTTCTTACACTAAACTTGATTTTTATGCTTCAATAGTATTATTTAAAATATGAAATATTTGTCTCTATTTAAAAGTCATTTAAAAAAACCAATTGCAAGTAGTAAAAAAAATGAAATATAAGGTGCGAGGCCTGCTTCCAATTCGTTTCTAGTGTGTGAATTTTTATGCTTGTTTATCCTTATAATTCATGTTGAAATAACAATGTTATTTCAAAATGACAATTTTGTTTTGAAATAACATTCTTATTGTTAAAATTTCTATATGGTTTTTTATCCAAACAGTCATGACTGATTGTGTAGAAGTTAAAGTCATTAAACTTTTTTCATGATTAATTTTTTGCATTCAGTTGTAACATTTTAAAAATGCTTAATTATGGTTTATCCTGCAATGCATTTATATATGCATATAAATGTTTACTTGTAACTCTACACTTACAAGTGTGTTAAGCACTTTAGTATATTAGCACTTTCGCAAAAAAAAAAATTAATTATGAAAAAATTAAAACAATAAAATGATTTTAAATTTATTTTAAGTTTATTTTTTGTTTTTAAAAATTTATTTTTAAAAACATAAAATAAACGTAAAATAGATTTAAAATAGAAAAAAATTTAGTGAAAATGATTTTTCTAACAATTAATTACTGCTTAATGTTTTCCGCATAAACTGTTTCAAAAAACTGTTTCAATATTCTTATTGAAAAAAAAGTTTTGTGATTTGAAAAAAAAAATTAAAATTTTGCCTGATCTATTATTGTTTTTTTAACTTTTTTACTCTTTAGAAAAGTATTTTACAGTTGTTAAACAAATGAGTCCTCCATTTCCGATGTCATTGCAAAGAAGAGCTTCAATAGCTTCAATAGCTAAAACAATATTTTGCATTATTTTGTTCGCTATTATCTCATACGAAGGAGAATCTTGTTAATATGTTTTTTAATTAATAAATAATTGAACTTATTGCGCAGATAATCAGATAGATATTTTTGCTACGTAAATTATTATTACATTATTTTCATTTAAGCAAAACCTTTTCTTATTTTTTAACAACAGTAGGGCCTTTTACTTATTTTTTAACAAATATAACTCTTGTTAAAAAATAAGTAAAAAATTTGGTTGCTTGCGCTTAGGAAGGCCTTGCTGCGCCAGTCCTGGAGTTGCTGCTCCATTCGCGCCACCCTAAGGATGGTACTGCTCCTCACACATCAATGTTTTAAAATTCTTTTCTATCTTCTTATTTTACTGACTTTTAACTTCTCTTATCTTTTTGTTAATTTGTTTCCATTTTCCATTTTCCGAAGCCATTGCTTGCAGACTTGTTGAGTGTTAGTTTATTTGTAGTTAAAAATATCAAAAGTGTTTAAAGTATAGTGGCAGGTTCATACATGTAAAATAATTTACTTTTAAAAACTATAATCAATCTTTTAAAATCAAAGGCTGTGGCAATTTTGGTTGAATAAGAACTCTGGGTGATTTGCAGTTTTGGTACTTGTGACCGATGGCTTATTTTTCCCAGGTCAAGTCTAACTTTTTTTTCAGGTGTTAATCTTGGGATAATTGAGGTATGTCACAAATGCAAAATGGGTGATTTCTGGTGATTGTTATTTATGAAAAAGAGCTTTTTTTTTTTTTTTTAATCATTCACCTCCCCAAGGCCCGAGGGGGCCACTACAGTTGAGGAGGGTACTCTTTTTTGTTGTTGTTGTTGTTGTTGTTGTTGTTGTTGTAAATTGTGGTACAACCCTCTTTCAACTCTTTAACTCCGAAACACGAACCTTGACAAGCAAGACCGCTGCGCGGAGAAATTAAGTTGAGCGCTGTACTTCCAGGGATGTGGTGGGAGTCGAAAAAAGTTGAAACGGTTCACTCAAAACAGTAATTATTGGCAATATAGTTTTCTAGATTAAGATTTTTTTTAGCAAAATATTGCTAACTTTAACTAATCTAATAAAGAATTCATACTTATTTTTTATTGTTCGAATTCGAGTTTTATTGTCCTGATTTTTAATTAAACTTGTTAGGCAGATGAATACTCTATTTTCATAATAAGAATGCATATAGACCCAGCATATCATTTAATGTTTAGATTGCTGATATTAGTTCTTGTTAACTTTCAATTTATGTCTAGATTGCTGATATTAGTTCTTGTTAACTTTCAATTTATGTCTAGATTGCTGATATTAGTTCTTGTTAACTTTCAATTTATGTCTAGATTGCTGATATTAGTTCTTGTTAACTTTCAATTTATGTCTAGATTGCTGATATTAGTTCTTGTTAACTTTCAATTTATGTCTAGATTGCTGATATTAGTTCTTGTTAACTTTCAATTTATGTTTAGATTGCTGATATTAGTTCTTGTTAACTTTCAATTTATGTTTAGATTGCTGATATTAGTTCTTGTTAACTTTCAATTTATGTTTAGATTGCTGATATTAGTTCTTGTTAACTTTCAATTTATGTTTAGATTGCTGATATTAGTTCTTGTTAACTTTCAATTTATGTCTAGATTGCTGATATTAGTTCTTGTTAACTTTCAATTTATGTTTAGATTGCTGATATTAGTTCTTGTTAACTTTCAATTTATGTTTAGATTGCTGATATTAGTTCTTGTTAACTTTCAATTTATGTTTAGATTGCTGATATTAGTTCTTGTTAACTTTCAATTTATGTTTAGATTGCTGATATTAGTTCTTGTTAACTTTCAATTTATGTTTAGATTGCTGATATTAGTTCTTGTTAACTTTCAATTTATGTTTAGATTGCTGATATTAGTTCTTGTTAACTTTCAATTTATGTTTAGATTGCTGATATTAGTTCTTGTTAACTTTCAATTTATGTTTAGATTGCTGATATTAGTTCTTGTTAACTTTCAATTTATGTTTAGATTGCTGATATTAGTTCTTGTTAACTTTCAATTTATGTTTAGATTGCTGATATTAGTTCTTGTTAACTTTCAATTTATGTTTAGATTGCTGATATTAGTTCTTGTTAACTTTCAATTTATGTTTAGATTGCTGATATTAGTTCTTGTTAACTTTCAATTTATGTTTAGATTGCTGATATTAGTTCTTGTTAACTTTCAATTTATGTTTAGATTGCTGATATTAGTTCTTGTTAACTTTCAATTTATGTTTAGATTGCTGATATTAGTTCTTGTTAACTTTCAATTTATGTTTAGATTGCTGATATTAGTTCTTGTTAACTTTCAATTTATGTTTAGATTGCTGATATTAGTTCTTGTTAACTTTCAATTTATGTTTAGATTGCTGATATTAGTTCTTGTTAACTTTCAATTTATGTTTAGATTGCTAATATTAGTTCTTGTTAACTTTCAATTTATGTCTAGATTGCTGATATTAGTTCTTGTTAACTTTCAATTTATGTTTAGATTGCTGATATTAGTTCTTGTTAACTTTCAATTTATGTCTAGATTGCTGATATTAGTTCTTGTTAACTTTCAATTTATGTCTAGATTGCTGATATTAGTTCTTGTTAACTTTCAATTTATGTTTAGATTGCTGATATTAGTTCTTGTTAACTTTCAATTTATGTTTAGATTGCTGATATTAGTTCTTGTTAACTTTCAATTTATGTCTAGATTGCTGATATTAGTTCTTGTTAACTTTCAATTTATGTCTAGATTGCTGATATTAGTTCTTGTTAACTTTCAATTTATGTCTAGATTGCTGATATTAGTTCTTGTTAACTTTCAATTTATGTTTAGATTGCTGATATTAGTTCTTGTTAACTTTCAATTTATGTTTAGATTGCTGATATTAGTTCTTGTTAACTTTCAATTTATGTTTAGATTGCTGATATTAGTTCTTGTTAACTTTCAATTTATGTTTAGATTGCTGATATTAGTTCTTGTTAACTTTCAATTTATGTTTAGATTGCTGATATTAGTTCTTGTTAACTTTCAATTTATGTCTAGATTGCTGATATTAGTTCTTGTTAACTTTCAATTTATGTCTAGATTGCTGATATTAGTTCTTGTTAACTTTCAATTTATGTCTAGATTGCTGATATTAGTTCTTGTTAACTTTCAATTTATGTCTAGATTGCTGATATTAGTTCTTGTTAACTTTCAATTTATGTCTAGATTGCTGATATTAGTTCTTGTTAACTTTCAATTTATGTCTAGATTGCTGATATTAGTTCTTGTTAACTTTCAATTTATGTCTAGATTGCTGATATTAGATCTTGTTAACTTTCAATTTATGTCTAGATTGCTGATATTAGTTCTTGTTAACTTTCAATTTATGTCTAGATTGCTGATATTAGTTCTTGTTAACTTTCAATTTATGTCTAGATTGCTGATATTAGTTCTTGTTAACTTTCAATTTATGTTTAGATTGCTGATATTAGTTCTTGTTAACTTTCAATTTATGTTTAGATTGCTGATATTAGTTCTTGTTAACTTTCAATTTATGTTTAGATTGCTGATATTAGTTCTTGTTAACTTTCAATTTATGTCTAGATTGCTGATATTAGTTCTTGTTAACTTTCAATTTATGTCTAGATTGCTGATATTAGTTCTTGTTAACTTTCAATTTATGTCTAGATTGCTGATATTAGTTCTTGTTAACTTTCAATTTATGTCTAGATTGCTGATATTAGTTCTTGTTAACTTTCAATTTATGTTTAGATTGCTGATATTAGTTCTTGTTAACTTTCAATTTATGTTTAGATTGCTGATATTAGTTCTTGTTAACTTTCAATTTATGTTTAGATTGCTGATATTAGTTCTTGTTAACTTTCAATTTATGTTTAGATTGCTGATATTAGTTCTTGTTAACTTTCAATTTATGTTTAGATTGCTGATATTAGTTCTTGTTAACTTTCAATTTATGTTTAGATTGCTGATATTAGTTCTTGTTAACTTTCAATTTATGTTTAGATTGCTGATATTAGTTCTTGTTAACTTTCAATTTATGTTTAG